ATTCTTTATTGTTGAAAGTATGACATATGTCCTCCTTTTCCCCCCATTGACCCCCCCTCCAACCCCCACCCCCACCCCAGGCCTTCACTATCCTATTGTCTGTATCCATGGGTTATGCCTATATGCATACAAGGTCTTTGATTAATTAACTCCTTCCCTTTGAGATTCCGCACTCTGTCCCATGCTTCCATGTCTCTGGATCCACTAAGTTCATCAGTTTCTTACTTAGGTTCCACTTATGAGTGAGATCATGTGATACTTGTCTCTCTCTGACTGACTTTTTTCCCTTAGCATGATACTCTCCAGGTCCCTCCATGCTGTCTCAACGGATAAGAGATTCTTTTTTACTACCGCATAGTCATATTTTTAATGTAAAGTCTCTTCTAGTCAGTGATTAGCTTTCAGCGTTTTACAGAATAGATCTTTAGCCTCTGAAGGCAGAAGCCCTGGGTTGGAATTCTGGCTCCATCGCTTACTAGCTCTCTGGTCTTGGACAAGTGACCTGATTTCCCTATTGCTCTCTGTTCCCTTTCTGTAAATTAGGAATAATTATAGGGTTGGCTCTTAAGGTTCTTTATGAAGAGTAAATGAAAAAATACGATTTAAAGTGGCGCAAAAGTTGATCACACAGTAAATTATTTTAAAATGTTAGCTTTATTATTTTAAATAAAGGATTAGAGCATTAGGAGCTTGAACATTACTAACTTGGACATAAACTTAAAGTTGTGATATTAGAATTATTGCCTTAAGTGTTGTAAAAAGTCTCAACATTGTTGTAAAGCTTGTGCTAAAATCAGTCAAAGTGAGCACTAAAACAGGAACATTAGTCACATTGCAGAATAGGCTTTCCTGTTGCAAATGCTACAGCCAACTCTCAAAAATGAGAAACTCCATAGTTGACTGAGTTAGAAAAGCTAAATTGCCAATTCAAGATTGATTGGAAATCATGCATGTGCTGAAATTTTTATGTTAGGTAAATACAATTTAATTTACAAGGTGTTGGTTTGCACCACATCTTAGGGGAAAATCTATGGTATGTTAAATTGAAGCTATTCACATAAATGAAACTCATATCTATTGGTTAATGGAAGGTTGATTTCTATATGAGCTTCTTTAAAAAATGAATTGTGACTTAATTTTACTATATAAATAGAAACAGATTTTTATGGCATTCACTTTTTATTAGGGTTTTATTGGGTTCTATAAAATACAACTTGTGGCCCTAGCTGGTTTGGCTCACTGGATAGGGCGTTGGCCTGGGGACTGGGGGGTCCCGGGTTCGATTCCGGTCAGGGGCGTGTGCCTTGGTTGCGGGCACATCCCCAGTGGGGAGTGTGCAGGAGGTGGCTGATCGATGCTTCTCTCTCATCGATGTTTCTAGCTCTCTGTCCCTCTCCCTTCCTCTCTGTAGAAAATCAGTGAAGTATGTTTAAAAAAAAAAAAAAACAAAAAAAAATACAACCTGTGGCCATTTCTCTGGACATACATTTGACAAAAATTGGGGTTGTATTTTATCGATGACTATGGTGCTTATAGAAAAATTTTAACTGGGGAAAGCTGCCCACTCTATGATGACACCCACTATCTACACCAGTGATCACTTCAAAAATATGGACATAGAAAACATAAACAAAAAGGTTAAAGTAAGTAAAACATGAAAATAGACATTACCCAGCACTGTGTAATAAAACTGTCAAGAGCATATAATCTTATATATGGAGCTCTTAGATTCTGATAAAGTTAACTGGTACCTGTTCTCTCTGAAATGTAAGTGGTAGAGTTGGAGAGTTTCTTGATAAAAGGTCAAGAAAGGGAATAAAAGAATTAATAAGAAGGAGTTCAAAATGGTATTTAAAACATTTCCTGACATTCTCCACAGGTGGAGATTGCAGGAGGGCATATGGTATGCTTTCCATTAAATTAGCATGAATACCTTGTTATATTAGGACCGTGGTCGGCAAACTGCGGCTCTTTGGCCCCTTGAGTGTGGCTCTTCCTAAGCCTTAGGAGTACCCTAACTAAGTTAATAACAATGTACCTACCTATATAGTTTAAGTTTAAAAAATTTGGCTCTCAAAAGAAATTTCAATCATTGTACTGTTGATATTTGGCTCTGTTGACTAATGAGTTTGCCGACCACTTTATTAGGAGAATGCCAAGACTTTGGTAACCCCAATACTGCCCCTTTTTGGTCTTGGAATATATTTCTAGAGATCCTCTGTCATGCCTGCCCACCCACGGATGGTTCCAGAGGTTCTCAACCTATGGGTCATGACCCCTTTGGCGGTCGAACGACCCTTTCACAGGGGTCGCCTAAGACCATCCTGCATATCAGATATTTACATTACGATTCATAACAGTAGCAACATTACAGTTATGAAGTAGCAACGAAAATAATTTTATGGTTGGATCACAACATGAGGAACTGTATTTAAAGGGCCAGAAGGTTGAGAACCACTGGTTTAGATAGTAACCATTATTCCCTTTTGGACTTAATCTTGATGAACAAAAATTCATGCAAGAATTAACTGCCTGGTTAAATAGTTCATTGGCTAAAAGAGAGCTTTCCAACTTTATATAGTTTGTTCTCTTCCCTTCCTATCTCCTACTCCACTACCCTTAAAGTGACTCATTAATGATCTTTAATGTTTTAGTTTTTGTTATCATTGCAGTTAAAAAAAAAGTTTACTTGAAGGGTGGAATAAATCAATTTTGAAAGCAAAAACTAGATTATATCCATCTCTGTCATTCTAAGACCTGGTATACACTAGATGCCTGGTAAATAAAATAGTAGGCCTCTTTGAGAAATTGTTGTTTCATTACATTAATGGACGTTGTAGTCATTCAGAAGCTCAAGGATGATTAGTATAAATGGACCTGCCTTAGATATCTTGAGGTTTTCCATAAGTCAGGCTAGTAGCTCACCTTTTTTTTTTTTCTGTTTTATTCACTGTGTCCCTACAGCATGCTAGACTTCACATTTCCTGCCCTGAAAGATTTACAGTTAAATGGGAGAAGATGATAAGCGAATAATTACATTACAGAGTTGCTGTGAGAAAACTTGGGAGGGGGAACTACCTTAATTTTCAGGAGAATCCAGGAAAGAAGAGTAGAAATTATGTAGTGAAGCTTGGCCAGTGCATGAAGGAGCCCATAAGCCATATTAAGGAGTTTGGACTTCATACTGATCAGCAGTAGGAGTGAATGATTACTAAAGATTCTCATCTTTGTAGGTAGTTCTTATTGCTTACATTTTGTGTGCTGGATTTGCACAGAGATAACATTGTTTACAATAATAGCTTTTCACTTCATCTTTGGTTTCTATCAAATATTTTTTTAAAATTATCTGCCAACCACAGGAACCTGCCAGGTGACTTTGGGTTTAAATAACATTGTTTTAATTATAATGATCCTTGTAATAGATAAGTGAAATTTCTTTTGCAAGTCTTCTCTAAGAACTTATGCTTGTTTATAACATAAATGATCTTGAATAAGATCATTGTACTAGCTATCAAGTTGGCAGTCTCTTGAGTGGAAATGGGATATATTCCTGACTGGCAGACTTTTTGAATGAGCTCATTCACTTTTAGTCTGCGGGTAGGACCTGTACTTGTTATATATTTGGCACCACTTACATAGATCCTAAATTTTCTATTTTTGAATTTTCTCTGTATACTTTCCCATGTTTCTGTGATATGCCACCCCAAAATATACCACTTGGGATAAGGATTATTTTGAGCTAAAGGCAATTAATCAGCAGCAAATGAAAAAAGCTCTTTTTCCTCCCACTATCTGCCTAAAAGTAGGACATACATTTCCCTTTGTGAGGGTTTTCTCTGTCCCCTCTCCTACATCAGGAGCAGGACAGCTCATCACTGGAGACAGAAAGTTGGCATCGAGATGGTCTGCACAAACTTTACTAAAATAACCCTATCTTCTATTGTTTTCTTCCATATAATTACTTCCCATAATTTATCACCCCTAGAAGCCCAATCCCTTTTCCTCATCTTGTCACTTCTCCAAAATTAAACACCCGTTATTAAAATGCTGTATCAGCCCTCATCTAACTACTACTTTGGGTCTCCACTTTTTTTTTTCTTGCTGTATTGATTAAACTTTGGGGTAAATAAAATATTTTAGTGATTGCCTCATGTGGTTGGTTTTTCTAAAGTGTTAGGATACTTTAAAAAAAACTTATTATTAAATTTTTAGTTAGAAATTATTTCAAACTTATAAAAAAGTTGCTGGAATAGTGCAAAGAAGTCTTGCTTATCTTTCTACCAGATTTACTGTTAACCTTTTGCGGTGTTGCTTTCTCTAATCTATAGTTTTTTATTTCAAATCTTGCTACTTGTCCCAATAATGTCCTTCATAACAATTTTCATTCTGGTCCAAGATCCCAAACAGGATCATGCATTGCATTGTTTCATGTCTCTCTCTTTTTTTTTATTGTTCACAGTATTACAGATGTTCCTTCATTACCCCCCTCCACCTAGCCCTTGCCCCTCCCCAGTCTTCACTACACTTCTTTTTTTATGAAGGCCTCTGAGCCTAAAATTAAAATGTTAACATCAAATATGATTTGTGTACCTTTTCTCCTGTTAACCTGTCTTTTGTCAGTTTAATTCGCACATTCCGAGACCGAACCTTAAGAGGGTAGAGAAAAAGTTTTTTTCCTCCCCTACTGCTCTATATCATTTTAGTGTTTATCGTTTTTAATGGCTTGTATGCTCTATGTTGCACTCTTTAAATATTGACTGCAACATTGATTTATTTCTCTCACCTTTAGTTTTTCCATCAGTGGTTTTCAGTCCTGGCTGGATAACAGAATGATCAGTGAGGCTTTTTAAAGGACCTGGATTTCTGGAGCCTATCCCAGAACAGACCCACTGAATCACACTGCCCAGCAGTGGGCCCTGAAAGCTAACATTTAAAAACAGTGTCAAAACTTGAGGGAGGCAGAAGTTAAAGTGGTAAAAGCAAATCTTATTTAAGAACTATTGCAATGGGAAAAAAGAAGCCTCAGTAAAGAACTGCACTTCCTTCTGAATGCAACAAGGATAAGTGGGAGTTTATAGCCAAGGAACAGGGAAGATACCACCGGAGGGAAAATTACTAAGGGGAAACGTTAGGGGTAAGAGGGATTCTGGCTAAATCAACTTGATAGGCTTCTTGCTGAAGAAAGGCCAGAGAGGTTGAATGAGGGTGGAATGAGGAATTTTTGAAGGTGGGGAATTTTCACTAAACTGATTTAGCAGGATATTTGCTAAAACAATCAAGGGGGCTAAGGACAAGCTCAAGAGCTAGGCCTCATCAAACATCGGACTCAGAGGGACTAAGGAGAGAGTCTTTGTCAATAGCAGCAACTACTACAAAATACAACAAAGGTGATTCTAATGTATGCATCTGTAGTTGAGAATTGAAACCTTATTTCCATAGAGGCTTGATTTTTCGTTTAAATCTTCTCTTGGCTTGATGGGTCTGTAAATGGGCAGCTTTCCCCCCAAAACCTTTTCTCCGTTAGGCTTTTCCTGGAGAGTACCACGGAACCAAAAGGACACAAAACTAAGACCAAATAATTCTTGTTTTGAAACGAACACACTTAGGTGCCTGATGTGTTCCAGGCAGTGTTCTCATTAGTGGGGATATGGTGGTGAATAAGGCAGACAAGGGCCCCTGCTCTTAGAGTAGAAAACAGTATACCAATAAGTGAACAATTTAATTTCAAATAATGATAAACACTATGAAGAAAATAAAAGAAGACTATAGTAGTGACTTAATAGAAGACTGTATTAAGGATAGAGGTTCACATTGAAAAATTGTCATTATAGGTTGTTTTTGGTCATGCTCAAATTTGGGATCTAGCAATCCAGGCAGAGAAATAGCAAGTCCAAAGCCCAAAGTCCGTGACAAGCTTGGCCTATTTGAGAAACAGAAAGACAGCTGGTAGGACAAGAACATTGTAGGTAAATGGGATGAAGGGTGTGGATAGGAATCTCATGTCGTTTCAAGGTTTTGGACTTTGCACAGCTGGCTCAATTATCCTTTTATAGCAAATTCTTAAGATGGGAAGGCTAAGGCAGTTTGAGGGAAGCAAGAGATGCCCATTAGGTATTAAGCTTCTGGATCTGGGAATGGTTGGTGTCTCTCTCCCTCTTCCTCTGGCTTTCCACATGTCGGCTGCAGGATAGCCAGATTTTTTGCATGCTTGGTTGTTGCTCAAAGGCTCCCAAAGCTATCATCCTAAAAGAAACCTGCAGAACCTGCATGGACTTTCCTAAGAGAGCCTGGGAGTCCTAGACTCCATCTTTTCATGGGAGGTGTGTCAAAGAATTTGCAGCAGTGTTTTAAAACCATCACATTATGGAATTTCTTATATTAAGTTTGTTATCTTTTAATATTAGTCATAATTTCCTTTTAAAAATAATGGTGAATACTACCTTGTCTTTGGGATTATTAATGATACAGTACTTTTTCTATTTTATATAGTTAAAATTGTTTCCTTAAAATTATGAACCATTTGTTGATGCTGTACTTATTAGTGGTTCTAAAAGTCTTCATAGGACCTTCTTCCTTACACTGTCAACTAATTGAATCCTGTAACACTTCATCAAATGCAGTACAATATTAAAAACAGTGGAGCATTTAAAAAATGTGAAATTGTTTGGAGTTCTGTAGCCCTGTCTTTAGAAGAGGTTTCCAGTTCTGGTTCTCATTTGTTTGCTAGAATGAGTCCTAAATCTGTTGGATAGTAAAATTAAAAAATGTTCAGTGGCTAAAATCTAAGAAAGTTTTTAAAGAGCTATGACTTGTGTATTATTTTTGTATTTTGGAAATAGCAATTTTTTTTCTTTAAGTGATCTGGAATTTTAGAATTTTATTCCTTTTTATTGGATTCTATTAGGAAGGAAAAATAGGATTGTATTTTAATTTTTATATGAGTTTTTAATAACTTAAAATTATTCTCGTCCCTAACTATGTGTTACTCACTTTAGAAATATTTAGGAAAAAACCTATATGCCCAGGTCCTACTCTCAGAGATTCTGACTAGTTGATTTGGGGTAGGGTCCAGGTATAGGTCTTCTTTATAGCTCCCCAGGAGATATTCTATTATGAAGCCACACTTGAAACCCCCTGCCCTACTGCATCAAATTGTGGTGTTTGCTGATGCTGATTTTGGTCTTTGTAACAGGGAAAAAATAAAAAATGGAAGGCCTGCCCGATGCTGCTGCTTTTGCAACTAAACTTAAAAACACTCTCATCCAGTATCATAGCATTGAAGAAGATAAGTGGCGTGTTGCAAAGAAAACGGTAAATTTGTTTAATTGGGGTGTATCTTCTAACGAATTGGTTAATATCTTTCAGAATAGTATGGGAAAATGTGGACCATACTGCAAGATAGATAATTTTCCTAATAAAGGAAAAGTGGGTGGTTTAGTAGGTCATAAAGGAACAAACATAGTAATCCTGTACCGCTTTCAGTAATTCTTTAGATATTGGACATGAGAATAGACTTGGGCAACAAGAGCCTAAAGAATGGCCTCTTAAGTCAACAAAAAATGTATCATTGTCAATTTAAGGAAGTATAGTAATTGGTAGTTTGGAATAGTTTCAGATATTTCAACAAGCCTGTGAGAGTGGCCAGTTAGTGTTTTTAGCAACATGACTTGCCCAAATTATCATATGGCTGAGTGTTGACAGAGCCAATCCTAGAATCCAGGACCCTTCCAGTTAAGTGCTTTAGCTATGCTGATATTCAGAATTTCTTGGGTAATTACCAGTAAAAAATTGTAGGGATTAATTCAAGGTAGCACTGTCAGAACAGATGTGAATTGTTTAATATTTTAAAAGATATGAGTGAGTTCAGAATGAAATATTTAGCATTCTTAATGTCTTAGTCTAAATGTGTCAGTAGACAAGATTGGAATAAGAAAAATAATAAATGGCCAGTGAGATAGTGCTATCACTGAATCTTTAAAGTATTTGGGTCACATTAAACTACTGAAAAGTCTTTCTTGGAGGTCTATAATTTAAATAAAATGCGAAGGATTTTAGGATAAAGAAAAAATTCAAATGTGGATCATTTGATGGTATAAATAACTTTTATGCATCTCTGAATATTTACTTAAGTTTTAATGCAAAGACTAATGCTTTAGACATATGAAATTGTCAGTTTTATATCCAAGGTTCCACTTATATAGTTATCACCATTTACTATTTTTATTTTTCTAGAGAGATGTCACGATTTGGAGAAAACCTTCAGAAGAATTTAATGGATATCTGTACGTAAATTCTAGTAGTATTATGTAGCTCTTAAGACATTGCTGAATGTTTTATACATACACACACAGAAACATTAATGATCACTAAATGATCATTGTCAATAAAATTAGGCCTCTGCTTCTAAGATTTAAACTTTCTGAGAAGCAAGTTACCTTATGAAGTCAAAGCCTATTTCCATAACCCTTCTATACTGAGTTGATGGTAAGGGGATCATAAATAATGATGTGAAATGACTGATAAGATCTTAATTTCTTAGCATCCTATATAATAAAAGGCTAATACAAATTGAACGAACGGCGGAACAACTGGTCGCTATGACGTACCCTGATCACTGGGGGCAGATGCTCAATGCAAGAGATGTCCCCTGGTGGTCAGTACACTCCCACAGGGGGAGCGCTGCTCAGCCAGAAGCCCAGAAACCTCTTCCGCCTCCACAGGAGCACTGAGGGGAGCGGGCCTAAGCTATCAGTCGGACATCCCCTGAGGGCTCCTGGACTGCGAGAGGGCGCAGGCTGGGCTTAGGGACCCCCGGAGTGCGCAAATTTTTGTGCACCGGGCCTCTAGTCAGCCTCTCTCTCTCTCTCTCTCTCTCTCTCTCTCTCTCTCTCTC